AACTCTGATGTTCTATTGTACAGCAAAGTTTTGTATTGGGACTCTTGTGGATTATTGTCAAGATAATTTTAGTTACTGAATGATTAACAAGAAGCAAAACAAAGTTGCCAAAGATTTCTGTACTACTTTCTGAAAAATAGATGACAAACTACCATAGTAAAATTGTGTTTTGTATTTATTGGTCATTAAATTTCCTTGCTACAGTAAACTTGAGATTTTTATTCTTATACAGAAAATAGGTTTGGTGTTGCTACACATATCTTATGTTGTTTCAGTACAGTAAGCTGTTCTTCAAATTAGTTCATTTAGTGTTCATGTTTCCTTAAAGCAATGTTTTTACAAGTTTAGAGGGTATATTAAAGTTTGCATTAGATCAATCAATATTTCATTAAATGTGTGTGTTTACTGTTGTACAGATTTTCCAAAGTCCCACATGTTTGATTATTATTTTTTGTTTCACAAATTATTTAGGGTGCTGAATTTTAGTTTTAAGTTGCTTGAAAGCTTACTATAGGCCAGATTCTGTTCATTTGTTCAAACAGGTGGGAAAAAAACCCCATTCTGTATTGACTCTAGGGTGGCTGCATGGATGTAAAAGAACAATTTTGCTCTATTTATTTGATGACTGCTTTAAGAAGTGTAGATTTGAATGTTTAGATGATAGTCCCTGACCACACTATTGTAATAATCTTGGTACAAAGTATGCCTTGTAAGGTATCAGTTAAAAAATTATAATTTGCTACTCAGGATTGTCCTGGTAAAATATGTATGGCAATATTGTATGTGAAGTTGTAAGATTCTCCTGTATGATGATGATAACACATGTTCCAAACCCCACAGCCATGCCCAGGCAGAAGCTAGGCCTGTCCTAAACAAGGAAGGTGCTTGCCTTAATTTGCATTTAAGCAGTAGACAGAGTCATCAGGCAGGGAGGGAAAACAAAGGAAATTCAAACAGGTGGGAAAAAAACCCTATCCTTTTACGTAGACTCTTTGTCTCCTGGGTCTCAGCTGGAAATATCACAAGGGAGACTGGAACTATAAAAAGGAGGAACAAATACCCCTTTCTTTCTCTCCCTGCCCATCACATTCTCTGCACCTGAGAAGGCAAAAGGAAACAGCTGTTGGACTTTGGGGGAGGGGTCCTGATCTGAAAAGTTTAGTCAGTAATCTTCTGGAGCATGTGATGAGAGAGTTTTTTAAGTAAATATTAGTAAGTATTTTATCTTTATTTTTCTTGTAACCATTTCTGATTTTTATGCCTCATTACTTATACTCACTTAAAATCTCTTTCGTAAGCTTGTGTTACTGTTTTTATCTAATCCAGCATGTTTAAATTGAAGTGTCTGGGCAACTATTTAGGTTAATAAACTAGCATATGATTCCCTTAATGTCTGGTTCGTCCCTCCAGGATTCGCCACTTGATGTGTAGATGGTGCAGCCAGTGACGCAATGGCAAGTGACTGATGCTGGTCAATAAACCTGTCTCCTCTTGGGAATTCCTAATGACGCCCAAGGATGGGGTAATGGGACACCCTGGGTGAAGGAAATGTCCCCAGAAAAGTGGATGAGCCAGGATCCTGTTGGCCAATGGTACCAACACTACTGGGACCAGATCCATTTAGAAAAGGCGCAGTTGTGGATGCGATAATGCGGGTGCTTCTTTCAACTTGGAGCTTTCAAATTGTCTTGACCTTCGTCTTGCCATTGAAGTTCTATAGTCCCTGCCAAAAGAGAAGATATAGGGTCTATGGCAATCCCTTCCTTCTTTGTTTTGCTTAGGCTTACACATTGAGGGTCTGTGCTCGATGGTCACTCCTCTTGGTGGGGAAGGACCCAGACGTTTGACAGAAGCTCAGATGTCCAAGTAGGGGAAGGTCTGCTCCTCGCACTTTGGGCTCTTCTTCCACACTACTGTCAAGCACCATTGACTGGCTGTTTTTATTGTGTTTCCTTTCATCTGTCAAGACGTTGGATGGCCATGTAGATTCCCTTAAAGGAATAATGGACTTAATATACTGGTACTCTCCAGGAGAGGGGTGGGCAGTACAGGACATACATTTCTGGGGGAAGATCCAGGAGTAGGAATGTGTTGGGATCACTCTGCAGTATAAACATGGCTAGTGAGACCCAGTGTGTAGCTGGCAGATTGCAGTTACACACAGACACTCAGAGTGTGGCCTGCATGCTGCAAGGTTGTTTGTAAGCGGTCCAGGTCGGATCTGCTACAGCAAAGCATTGCAAGGCACTCAAGGTTGCAGGGCAGTGATGACACAGCTCCCCACTAGTCTGAGTTGTGCCCTGGTATGTCATAGTAGCTTTATTTTATAATAGATTTTATGAAAGATGCTATCTTAAATTGTTTTATGAGGTAAGTAATTATAAAAGCTAAAAGTTTAAAAGACAGCAGGCAGATTAATTAAGCTGCATAGACAAGGGATGATTTCAGAAGAGATTTGGAGAGGTATAAGAGAGGTATAAGCAAAGGAAAGCTGTTTCAAATGTTCTTGCCTTTTCCTCATTGCTTTGTGTGTATGATTGTGTGTGTCTTGCTACTCTAGGAATGCACCTGTGCTGTTGCTTGTACACAAAACCATTTTCCCAGCAGGAGCAGCAAAGTGAAACTGAGATCTTCTTTAGATGCATTTTGATGTTTCTGCTGTGGAAGCACAATGAACAGGATATACAGCCGTACAATCACTATCTTCCCACAGGCATGGTGAAATGTTGTATTTCCCTGCAGTTAAATGCCTTAGTCATAATTACTGGGGCTGCTGTACCTCTCTCAGTCAGGAGGAAATACAATTAGTTCAAAATTTGTATACTAGGGTGTAGAGAACTAACGACATGAGAAAATAGTCTACTAATTCCTAATCAGGATTTAAGGAACAAAAGAAGAAACTGGTTCCAAATAATCTATCCCAGGGTTGATAGTTGCCCTAATGGATTATTAAAGGAGGTGAGAGAAACATAGATGAACTATGCTCATGAGAGGAAGAAACAGAGGGTTTGTCTCCACAAAGACTTAATGCACAGCAAGCTGGGTTGTGAATGTACAATATACTAGCCTGCTGTGTGTGCTGTCTGTGTGGACCCTGTACTAAAAGTTCCATAGTGTTCTTTGACATACTGCTGTTAGAGATTTGCTGACCGGAAACCAAGATAGGCAGCATTGGAAGCAAAGGTTTGCCCTGTCTCTGGTTGTCTACACTTAAAAATTTTAATGCCATATCAGTGCCAACCTAAGCCCTGGTGTAGACCTAGCTAGATTGACAGAAGATTCATAGATTCTCCACTTGGGGAGCGGATTACTTACAGTGATGGAAAAACTTCTTCCATAACTGTAGGAAGCATCTACAGCAGGAGTCAGCAACCTTTCAGAAGTGGCGTGCCACGTCTTCATTTATTCACTCTAATTTAAGTTTTCGCGTGCCGGTTTTAATGTTTTTAGAAGGTCTCTCTCTATAAGTCTTTATTATATAACTAAACTATTGTTGTATGTAAAGTAAACAAGGTTTTTAAAATGTTTTAGAAGCTTCATTTAAAATTAAATTAAAATGCAGATCTTATCAGTTTAGTGCAGTGGTTCTTAACCTGGGGTGCACGATACCCTTTCTGGGGGTGCAAGATACGCAAGATTTTTTTAGAAGGTAAATCATCGAAAACACAAATTAAGCACAGGCACATAAGTACAATTACTTTGTTTCATAAAACCTGTGTATTAACATTATACATGTTTTAACGATTACTGTAATATACAAACAAAGTTTTTAAGTTTTAAAGTTTTTAAGCTAATTGTAGTGTAATTTTTTATAAGGGCTGCAGAGCGCTGGGACCAGGCCAGGAGCAGAGCCCTGGACTGGCTGCCGGTACCCCAGGCCGGCAGGAGGGCTGAGCAGGGCCGGAGGCCCGGACCCCAGCTGACAGGGGGCAGGGCAGCTGGAACCCCAGACCGGTGGCGGGCTGAGCGACTCATCCCGCTGCCCGTCTGGGGTTCCGTCCACCGGCCCTGCTCAGCTTCTGCTGGCCGGGGGTTCCATTCACTCAGGCTGGCAGCAGGCTGAGCGGGGCCAGCAGCCAAGACCCCGGCTGGCAAGGGGCCGGCAGACGGAACTCCAGATCGTCAGCGGGCTGAGTGGGGCCAGCAGACAGAACACCAGACTGGTGGCGGGCTGAGCGGCTCAGCCCGCTGCTGGTCTGGGGTTCCATCCGCCAGCTCCTGCCAGCCGGGGTCCTGGTCGCCGGCCCCCCCTCAGCCTGCTGCCGGCTGGGGGTTCCGTTCACCCAGGCCGGCAGCAGGCTGAGTGGGGCCGGTGGCCGGGACCCCGGCTGGCAGCAGCGTGCCAGTAAAAATCGGCTCGCGTGCTGCCTTTGGCACATGTGCCACAGGTTGCTGACCCCTGATCTACAGTATACTGCTGCAGCTATGCCACTGCAGCACCGTTGTGTGGACATGGCCTAAAATGCCTGAAAAGAACGTGGCCAGAGACTTGTGTTCTTCTGGTTGAACAAGATCCCTGTATGTGATAGGTTATTTATTCTTGGTTATTTTCTTAACCAAGGGCTCCTGTACACTTTCTCTCCGAATGCTCAGATTCTGGCTGTGTCAGTTACCCCAGTAGTGTGTGTTGTGCAGAAGTTAAAGGGCAGAAAGAAGTGTTTGAAATTGTATCACTTCTCCTTGGCAAATGTACAGATTAAAAATGAATAAAGAAGTCATGCTAAAACTTTGTGGCTAGTTATTTCACAGTGGCATAAAATTTAAAGGCAACATATTTTAATTAATGCAAATAAAAACTTCATATATATCTGAATTTCTTTCCAGCATTAAGACAGAATTGCCACCAAGCTGTGTGGCTGATTTTTGCATTTAAATCCATCAAGTACAGAAGGAAAGTTCTGAAAGAATAAGAATCTGTTATATTTGTCTTTCATGTTAAGTGTATGTCTAGTTTTTGTTTTGGGAACTGCTTCATGAAATGCTGGGTTTCTTTTTTGCAGTTGCTGAAACTGAAAGGAGTAGAGGAACCAGTACTTTAATTTTGCGTGGAGCGTTTGGAAAATTACTGCAATGCTGTAAATCAGAGCCTCAGTTAAGTTCGGTGAGTGTCTATGGATATTTTCATTATCCTGACCATATAAGGAGTATAAAGAGTTACTCATGCATTGGGATTTAGTCTTGTAATTTACAACATTGAGTCAAGACTCTACCATTTAGCCCAAAAATCTTGTGATCTAATTGATCGATAGGTTTTTATATAAACATTATTTTTCCCGTAGATGTTTGTTTATTTTAAGCAATTTTATAAATTAATTCCTTCCATACTCTTGGGTTAAATAGTTTTGTATACCCTATAGGGATTTAATTCAATACCTTCTCTACTAGGTTTGAATAGAGTACTTTGTCCATAGTTTAGCAGGAGCATAGAATAACATTTCCATATTGGTTTCACACTAGTTCTGCTGTTAATGGTAGTACCACTGGAGAAGTGCTCTAGGAGCCTCGTAAAACATGGGGTACCCTCAGTCCTATGCTAAACTGAAACCCCTGCATCCTTGATCTCATTTTTTTATCTAGTTTGAATATGTTTAGTACTGGATTCTGAGACCAGCTTAAGGGACTAAATTCACCAGGACTAAAGATTTGACTCAGTGTGCACTGGTATGGACTGGTAAAGATACCAGTCATTTTTTTCATTCTTTGCTGCTCCAATCTGTGAATTACAAAGTAAAATTGACAAGATCTCTGGTACCTTAGTTGAAGGGGTCTGAAATCTTGACAGTTTCACTTTGCTGCTGGCATGTGTAGCAGAGCTGTAAGAAGGGGAAAGAAATTGGGCGGGGGGGAGTAAACAAGAAGTAAGGAAAATAGGCTGCTGGGGAAGTAAAAAGGGTCATAATATTTAGTGAAGAAACAAGGATAGAAAAATGTGAAAAGACTGAGCAAGGAAGACATTGGAGGGGGTGAGGGTAAAGATAACAGCTGCAGTAGTATGAGTGGGTATCCTAATGTTCTTGCCTCATCATTATTTTCCTGCCACTGAGTTCTGAAAGAAGCCTAGCTCAGAATGGGAGGCATATCTATTTTGTGATAGCCACTAGAGTACCATATATTAATGAAATGTTACCGCTGCCATCTACAACACCTAATTTTCTTTGAAATATATGTTTAAAAAAGCCACATAGAATCCTTTATGACCTCATAGTATTTCCAATATATCAGGCACCTGTTTTAATTAATCTCCTTTGAAAAGACATTACTGTAAGGTTGTTTACTTTTCAAAGTTTCTGTCATGAATGAAGGTACTGAGGTGAAAATTCAGAATCTATTTGCGTATTTCACCATTCCTAGGTTCATCATTGGTGCTATGAAGTCTTTGCTTTTTAGAAATCTTTTCTTATTTGAATACTTTTGACCTGCTTTAAATCTCAGCATTAACGTGCTTCACTAAAAATATGCATGTTCCCTACAATCCTTTACTGTTACCAGCTTCAGGGAGGTGGAAGAATATTGTAAGGCATAAGTTAACAGTGAGAGTAGCTAACCATTGGAACAACTTTCCAGTGGTTGTGGAGGATTCTCCATCACTGACAATAATTATTTCTGGGAAGTTCTTTGGCCCTTTGTTATGCAGGAAGTAAAACAAGATGATTGTGTTCCCTTCTGGCCTTTGAATTTATGAATGTATAAAGTAGGGTGAATAAAAATGATTTAAAAATTAAAACAGTTTTTGAAGTGTACGTAATGGATTTTAATTTAAAATTTTAAAATTAAGTAATTGTAATTTACATAATATTGGTTTGCTTCTTTCCATTTTATAGTCTTTAAGTTGCTAAAATAGACATTTTATATTTGTTTCTTTAGTTTCCTAACTTTTAGTCAGACTTTAGATTTTATATATTTTTTTCTAAATTTCACATCTAAAATGCTTGTCTGTGCTGAAATAAACAAGTCTAGGGCCTCTCTGCCATCTTTACTGTGCGAACAACACAAACAGCCCCTGCTATATTTGCAACCAACACATCAAACTTTGTCAATAAAGTTGAAATGCTTCAACTGGACTTTAGTCCTCCACCAGGGTTGAAGTCAATGGGACTTGTACTCCGAAGGTCATTTAGGTGCCTTTGAAACTCTCAGCCTCAAATGCCTAAATATGAGCATAGGAGCATCATGTTAAGCGCCTTGTTTTTAAACTCTGGCGTGTGTGTGTGTGTGTGTGTGTGTGTGTGTGTGTGTACGTATACGTATATATATAAGTTCATAGTAATTTTGTTAGTATTCTGAAAGTCCAAGCCTTTCATTGTTTGCACTGAAGTAATTTTATTTTGAAGTGATTAACATTTTATGCCACAAAGTAATTTTCAATAAACCTTTAGCCTGTGATGCTGCAAATGCTTGTGCTTAAATAAGACTACTCATGCACGTGTTTAATTTTAAGTCAATTTGCATGAGTAAAGTTATGTATCTGCTTAGATGTTTGCAGGATCTGAGCTTTAATTTTCAGTATTTTGTTTTTTGCCCATAGCAGTTTTATAAAATTCAAATAAGAGACCCTACTAGTAGAGAATTTTTTTTTCAAAATAATAGCATTTATAATTTAGTTTATTAAAAATTTTAGTCCAAAGTTGCAATGGCAGAGATCTTTAAATTAATTTTATAAATCCTCAACCTGATTTTAAACCAGTGGTTTTAAAAAAAGTCAAGTTGTTTAAATAATTTAGATTGCCATGTTTTAAATCACTCTGCTGTAAACAGCAGAGCTGTGGTAGAGTAATGAATATATTTGATTCTTTTGGATCACAACATCTTTGCATCAGACATTTAATTTTTTCAAAAATACGTATAACTGAAAAATATAATGTATTTGCAGCACCATAGCTAACAAAAACAATGCATGAATAAAGTAAAAATATAACTATATTTTGCCAAAAAGTTAAGCAAAGTGTTGTATCACACTTTGTTTATAGCCATTAAAATAGAGAGCAGCAACTTGGCTAACCACCCGTAACAAAGCAATTATTAGTATAGTTGTGTGCAAACACTGTAATAAGCTTTAACATTAGAAAGTTTCTTGGAAGAGGAAAAAGCCTCCATTGAAAATGAAGAGTAATGTTGTTGGAAAGTGTAAATAAAATTCTAACATCCCTTAATAGCTTATTTTAAGGTCTTGTCTACACTACAGAGTTTTGTCGACACAAGTTAAGCCAACAATCAAAAACCGGTATAATTACATCGCCTGTGCATGTTTACACAACACTCCTTCTGTTTGCAGAGCGCGTCCACAGCTGGTGCTCTAGTATCGACAGAGAGAGCAATGCACTGGGTAGCTATCCCACTGTGCTTCTCACCACCTTCTGCAGCTAGGAGTTGTGGGAAGGCGGAGAGAATCACAGTGCATCATGGGTGCATGCTCAATGTCCCATTATGTAGTTCTTTCTGCCCCAGCATTCCACGGGCTTCCGACTGTTTCACAGCATTTTTCAACATCCCCTGTTTACTGTGCGCCTGCCATCTCTGTCTGAAAGGATGGATCACACATTGCTCTCTAATATTGTGTTCAGTGTTATGAACACAAAGTGGGTGGTCATGCAGTATATCATGAGCTCCAAATCTGAACAGGAATCAGAGTTTCCTGACCTGCTGTGTGCCATGGAAAGAAACAAGACCAGATTACTTTTGGCCTTCACGGAGTAGCTGAACACGATGGACTGTCGCTTTTGGGCTCAGGAAACAAGCACTGAGTGGTGGGATTGCATTGTTATGCAGGTCTGGGATGACAAGCAGTGGCTGCAGAACTTTAGGATGCAGAAAGTCACCTTCTAGGAACTGTGCAGAGCTTGCGCCAGCACTGTGACCCAAGGACACCAAAATGAGAGCTGCCTTCGGTGGAGAAGCGGGTGGTGATCGCTTTGTGGAAGCTGAAGACTCTAGACTGCTACCACTCGGTCGCAAATCAGTTTGGAGTCAGGAAGTCAACCATTGGGACTGCAGTAATTCAAGTGCGCAGGGCCATTAATTGCATCCTGCTACAAAGGACAGTGACTCTTGGCCATATGCGTGAAATATTGGATGGCTTTGTGGCAATGGGATTCTCTGACTGCCGCGGGGCGATACGTGGCATGCATATTATAATTTTGGCCCCGGACCATCTTGGGATGGGGTACATCAATAGAAAGGGGTACTTCTCTATGGTATTGCAGGCACTTTTGGATCACTGCAGGTGTTTCACTGACATCAGTGTGGGGTGGTCCAGAAAGGTGCATGACGTATGCATTTTCAGGAACACCGGCCTGTATAGAAAGCTCCAAACAGGGACTTTCTTTCCAGACCAGAAGATTCCAGTGTGGGATGTTGAAATGCCCACCGTGATCCTGGGAGACCCAGCATACCTCTTAATCCCATGGCTCATGAAGCCTTACATGGGAAACCGGGACAGCAGCAAGAAGTGCTTCAACAATAGGCTGAGCAGGTGCAGAATGACCGTAGAATGTGTCTTTTGCAGTTTAAAAGTGTGTTGGTGCTGCCTTTATGGCAGGTTAGACCTAAATGAGGGAAATATTCCCGTGGTCATAGCAGCCTGCTGCACACTCCATAATATTTTTGAGGCTAAGGGTGAAAAGTTTCCCCTGGGGTGGAGCATGGAGGTGGATTGTCTGACTGCTGGGGGAAGGGGGGAGTGAGCTCACATGTGTTCTGCCTGGAGCGTGATTAGGGACTTCAGCATCTTTGTTTGCTCCTCCATCACTTATCATCTGCTCCTGGCCCTTTTACAGTGTGCTCCTCACTCTCCTTTCTGTCCTGCCATTCTATTTTAAATTTGTCTTTCAAGGTCTCTCTCCGCTTCCTGCATTCTCTTTTTTTCAGCCTCTGAGGATTGGAGCACCTCTCAGAACATGTCCTCCTTGCTCCACCTTGATTGCTTCCTTATTTGGCAAAGACACTCCACCGGTGTGTAGGGGGTTCCCCTGAAGGCCGCATCTGCAGAAGCACAAGAAACTACACAGAAGCATGATTGTTAGTTCACAGACAGCATTGAATCATTATAGTAAAATACACCCCTTTTTACATACGAATCACTTTCTTTCTTTCGCTTGACGAGCACACATCTCAGCAAACCTCCTAAACATGGTGAGTTTGGCCCAGGGAGGTAGGGTGGAGGTTTGAGGGCTCAAGATGAGGCAAAGGGTAAGGGGATCACTGCAGGCCATTAGGGACAGTATTGTAAAAATCTACCACCATTTTCCACAGGCAAGGGTCATTGAAGCCAATATCTCATTCGTGACGGTAAGCAAGTGTGCATCTCCTGCACTTGTGCGGCTTCAGACCATGTGCTGCTCACCTGAGTGCTGCTTTAATCCCTGCACAAGTGACTGTTGATTGGCGTGGGAAAGTTTCCTCCAATGAGGGAAGGAACAAAGCAGTTCTGCCAAGGAACCTTCAGCACAGGATTGGGAGTACCCGCAGGAAAGTTTGCTAGAGATCTTTCTGGAGTATTCCCGTGAAATCTCAGTGAACATTAACACGCTGTTCTGCCACACTGCTTAGCTGCACAAGGGAATGTGAAGTCTTGTAAATTTCTATCCCTTCATCCACTTTTAGAATATACAGAGCAAAGGACAGTTCTACCTCATATAACTGAGCAGCATCTACTCAAAAAGATCCCTTACCAAGGCTCTCTTCTCCTGCTTCATGCGTGCCAAGAAATTGACGACTGGGACTGGCTACACCCCTCTGGAGTAGAAAAGAGGTCTTGACTTGCTGTGCCACCAGATGGCCCTGCTGTGTGCTCCACATTGTCCTCCAACTTGACCTCCTCCTCCACGACTTCATCCTCTGGGTTGAGTCCACTGTCCACTGCCTCCAGCCCCACTGAAGTATCCACAAGGCTCTTGGTGGTGGAGTGGGGTCATCACCAAAGATGGCATCCAGCTCCTTATAGGAGCAGCAGGTCTTCAGCACAGCACCAGAGCGATGTTTTGCCTCCCTTACCTTCTGATATGCCTGCCTTAGCTCCTATATCTTTGCACAGCATTGATCATAGAATCATAGAAGATTAGGGTGGGAAGAGACCTCAGGAGGTCATCTAGTCCAACCCCAACTAAATCATCCCAGCCAGGGCTTTGTCAAGCTGGGCCTTTAAAACCTCAAAGGATAGAGATTCCACCACTTCCCTATGTAACCCATTCCAGTGCTTCACCACCCTCCTAGTGAAATAGTTTTTCCTAATATTCAACCTAGACCTCCCCCACTGCAACTTGAGACCATTGCTCCTTGTTATGTCATCTGCAACCACTGAGAACAGCCTAGCTCCATCCTTTTTGGAACCTCCCTTCAGGTAGTTGAAGGCTGCTATCAAATCCCCCCGCACTCTTCTCTTCTGCAGACTAAATAAGCCCAGTTCCCTCAGCCTCTCCTCATAAGTCATGTGCCCCAGCCCCGTAATCTTTTTTGTTGCCCTCCACTGGACTCTCTCCAATTTGTCCACATCCTTTCTGTAGTGGGGGGCCCCAAAACTGGACACAGTACTGCAGATGTAGCCTCACCAGTGCCGAATAGAGGGGAATAATCACTTCCCTCGATCTGCTGGCAGTGCTCCTACTAATGCAGCCCAATATGCTGTTAGCCTTCTTGGCAACAAGGGCACAATGTTGACTCATATCCAGCTTCTTGTCCACTGTAATCCCTAGGTCCTTTTCTGTAGAACTGCCACTTAGCCAGTCGGTCCCCAGCCTGTAGAAGTGCATGGGATTCTTCCATCCTAAGTGCAAGACTCTGCACTTGTCCTTGTTGAACCTCATCAGATTTCTTTTGGCCCAATCCTCCAATTTTTCTAGGTCACTCTGGATCCTATCCCTACCTCCAGCCTATCTACCTTTCCCCCCAGTTTAGTGTCATCTGTGAACTTGCTGAGGGTGCAATCCATTCTATCATCCAGATCATTAATGAAGATGTTGACCAAAACCGGCCCCAGGACTGACCCCTGGGGCACTCTGCTTGATATCGGCTGCCAACTAGACATCGAGCCGTTGATCACTACCCGTTGAGCCCGACAATCTAGCCAGCTTTTTATCCACCTTATAGTCCATTCATCCAATCCATATTTCTTTAACTTGCTGGCAAGAATACTGTGGGAGACTGTATCAAAAGCTTTGCTAAAGACAAGGTATATCACGTCCACTGCTTTCCCCATATTTACAGAGCCAGTTATCTCATCATAGAAGAAAATCAGGTTGGTCAGGCATGACTTGCCCTTGGTGAATCCATGCTAACTGTTCCTGATCACCTTTCTATCCTCCGAGTGCTTCAGAATTGATTCCTTGAGCACCTGCTCCATTATTTTTCCACAGAGGTGAGGCTGACTGGTCTATAGTTCCCTGGATTCTCCTTCTTCCATTTTTTAAAGATGGGCACTATATTTGCCTTTTTCCAGTCATCCAGATACGTGTCCCATTCATAGCCTTTATCCAACAAGCCACAAAAAATCTGCCTGTAGGTATCAGAGTTCCTACAGCTGGAGCAGAGCTGGGACTGTGCTGCTACCTCTCCTCGCAGTGTCAGGAGATCCAACAACTCAGGTGTGCTCCAAGTGGGAGAGCGTTTGCTGTGTGAAGCCACCATTGTCAGCTGGGAAGATGCAATGTGAGCCATCCACACTGAGCAAACAGGAATTGGAATTTCCCCTGGGCCTTTAAAGGGGGAGGGTGGATGCCTGTGTTCTGAGTTCGAACTGCTGATCAGAGTGGTCAGGATATGCATGGTGGGACATCTCCTGTAGGCCACTTATAGTGACATAACCAAGTGCGGTGTCTACACTGACACTTTGTCGATATAACTTTGCAGCAAAAAGCTCAACACTTCTTGTTGAAGTGATTTTATTTTGTTAGCAAAACAAAAGTGTTTTGTAGGCAGAAGGAGCATTGCAGTGTGTGTACATCTCCATGTTTTTGTTGATTAAACTTGACATTTGTTGACAAAACTGTGTAGTGTAGACAAGCCCTAAGTAAGCTATTCATCAATTAGCACATAGACTCAACAGCTAATTTACACAATTTTTTCATGATTTTCTAATAAATCCTCTAGTGGTTGGAGTCCCGATTTTTTTTATTTTGTTGCCAGTGTTAAGTAGAGTAACAGCAGGCTCTGCACTTTATTGGTGGCATCACTGAAACCTCATTCACAGTGTTTTAAGAGAAGATATACTCTACTGAGCAGAAATACATATTTCTTTAAAAAGAAAACTTTTCTACTTTTCCTTCTATACAGCTGACCCTTGCTAGAGAGCCGAACTCCAAATATTGTCTGTATGGATGCCTGTTTGTGGGATGCTTATGTCCTCTAATTTTATAAATAGCAATGACCACTGACACAGTATGTGAGATTCAGGCATTTTCAGGACCTTCCATAGTGCTGGATTATTTGATTCAATTGGCAAACTGGGAAGCAGAGTAGGGAATGGATTCAAACCTGTTTACCAAAATAAAACGTATTAACTGTAAAATAGTCTAATACAACTTTGTTTTAAACCCAGACATGTTAGAGTTGGTAGTTATCTTAGTGTTTGGCTTTGCTAATTTTAATATCTTCAATAATGATCTGGAAAGAGAGGATAGCAGCATGCTACTGAAAGTTGCTGATGCTAAATTGGGAGACGTTGAGAACTTGAGAGGACAGAGGTAACAGAGAGCAGCCTTGGGAAGTTAGAAATTTGGGGAAGAAGCTTTAAGCTGGATATTTAGCCTGGAAATATGCAAGCAGTATGTGAGTTTTGAGGTGATGGTGGTAGAAATAAGTCATTTTATGAGAAACCTGGAAATCAGTACTGCTGAAAGACTTAAGAGGGACTGAACAGCAAACTAAATGTAGCCATTACAGCCCCTCAGTGGTCAATATGATTAGGCATTACATACTTGAGGCTTCAGTATGAAGGAATAAGGGGTGATAGTCCCTATGTGACTAACTATGAGAGCTCATTAGGAATTTTACTTTTAATTTTGGTATATTGTTCTTCTGGTCTAAAATCAAGGAACCTTTTCTTCTGGTTTAAAATTAAGCATGGAAAGTTTCAATCTTCAAGAAAAATTTGAGAAATTACTACTTTATTGATTACATGCATTTTAAAGGCACCCATTACTGTGGTATCAGTGCCTTTAAAGTCAAGTTATTAAGATTTCCCAATAAAAAGTACTGGAGTAATCAGGGCCGTAGCAACAAAGAACGTGGCCCCCTCCGAACGGTGGCCCCCTCCGAACATATGTCCGGGCGGGGCCCCTTACAATGCAGAAACTGGAATGAGGTATTTATTTTGCCACTTTTAGGGGCCCCCTTCCTTGCGGGGTCCTCTCCAGTCGGAGGGTACGGAGGGCGCTCGCTACGCCTCTGGGAGTAATACACCCAAACTTCCACAGTTTAACTTAAAACCAGAAAATGTAAAGAACTGACCAGTCAGCTAAGTGCCCTCGATTTCATAGCTTACCATCTGTGTAGTGCCTGGTGAAAGCAACTGGCCAACGTTTTGCTTTAAATACAATTCCCATGAGAGCAAATTCCTGACGTGGAAACCTGCATCAGAGCAAGTTATGAGGGGATTATGATGGAATACAGAATATAACCTTAAGCTTTGCTATCCTGAATGCAACAATTTTCATTTTTGTTTTGTGACAGCAAGAAGGGGAGTTCTCCCTTGCTTTATCCAGTTGCAGGTGCTAGGGAGTCAAATTTTCAGCTATTGAAGTTTTTGTTTAATTATGACATCCTGTTTTTATAACAGGTAGCTGTAGTGGGAGGGAAGTGGAAGAATCCAGTGACAGCCACCAGAGTTTTAGAAAAGTAAGTTTTTTATGTTGTCATATTTTGTTAGTTTCATAAGAAACAATAATAAGTTATAACTGGTCAAATACAGAAGTGTATAATAGAGCTACAGTGTTTTCTATTCCTTGAGTATATTTTAAATGTAGGTTTCCCAGAGTTTATTCACTGTTTCTTCCCCACCCCTCCCAGCCTTGTGATTAGAGGAGAGCTGATTCTAAAAAACTGAGGTTCCACAGTGATGATTTGGATGGGCAGGTTGGTATAAAAGTGGAGTCTCAATTCAATTCCCTGCCCAAACTCTCTCAGGCTGTCACTGACTGAAGAGCTGAGGAGGCAGTGCAAACTGTCCACTCTCCACAAGCACTTAGGTAGCCATTCAGTTGTGTGAGATTCACCTGCATACAAAGAGTTAAGCATCAGAAGCAATGTTAACAATGTACAATCCTAGAGATTTAAAAACCTCAGCCACTGTAAAAGAATCCCGTTAACAGGCCTTTATTTACATATGTTTGCATTTCCACAAATGGAATAATCAAGTTTCAGATTAAGTCTTAAATTCCTTCAATAGCACAGTCTAATACTGTACTTGAGTGATGCAGAATGCATCTACTATTCTGTTCTTGTAGAATCTAACTACATTTCAAGAACCTTACAAATTACATTGCCAGAGTTCTCCACTAGCCTTAGGATTAATGCATCCTTTCATTGCATGTATATAGCCCCATAGTGGTGTCCTTTATGTAGATGAATACCATATAAAAATATATACTGAACATATTATTAAAATATGCAAAGCTCAGGCTGACCTGTTACTAAGTAGAGATAGCAGCTCATGTCAGTGTGTACACATTGCATAAATGCTTTGCTTTCTGCATAGGCTCCCCATTGAATATAGAGTTCAGTTCCAGGTTTGTGTCCTGATACTCAAAGCCTTCTGAGACTGGCCCTAGCTATCTGAGTTCCCTGATTGATATGTTCCACTGAAATGATGAAATTATTAAACAGGGAAGAATGAATGTGAAACTGATTACTTTCAGAACTAAATACAGAACTCATTTAAATCATTTAGCTTTCCCTCAGTAAGTTCTTCTCTCTCTCTCTCTCTCTCTCTCTCTCTCTCACACACACCCACACCCACACCCACACCCACACCCACACCCACACCCACACCCACACCCACACCCACACCCACACCCACACCCACACCCACACACACACACACACACACACACCCACACCCACACCCACACCCACACCCCAAGCTAATTTTCTACATGCGGGAAGGAAGAAAATGGGAGCTACAGATCTCTAATTTAGAATACTTGGAAGGCTCTCTTATAGTGTGCTTCTGGTAAGCAAAGATGGTAATATGTGGCTACTAGCACTATCTGAGTTGTGGTATTAAATGAGTTAATGTGTTTGTAAAAAATTGGGTGCTTAGCATCACATAGGAACTCTTGAGTGGCTCTGAAACAGAGCAGGGATAGAGGGTTAAGAAAATTGTGTGCTTGACTTTGCAACCTTTACATTCTTTTAACGTAGAGGTGATTATGAAACTTCCTAAGTCTTCAAAAAAAAAAAAAAAAAAGCAACCCCTCCCCACACACCTAATTGTCATATGGAACTGTATTGACCCCTCCCTCCCCAGGTTGGGCCATCAGGAGGGTTTGAGCCTTTAGATTACCAGCACAGACTGCTAACAGTAAGTAGTAACAATAGGATACTATCCTCTATGTGGCACTAAATGGGGATGACACACATACTTTGCCAGTGGGTTTCACAGCAGAGATAACGTGGACTCCAGATTTCCAGGTTCAATCCCAGGCATTGGAGAAGAGTGTGCTTGGTGCCCTCTTCCTTCTTTCTCCATTGCTACCTTCTTCCCACATGTCCCCAGCTCCTGACCCCTCTGCCCCTATTACCCCTCCCAAACCTCCCCTCCCTTTGCTTCTATCCATACCTCTCTTCTTCTGCTTCTCTCTGTTGTGGTCAAAGACACCCACACAGTGATTTTAGTTCAAAGACTCAAGCCTGAGGCCAGTTTATTGACATACATACCAGTGCACTGGGGTGCAGTCCGAAGACTGACACCCCGAGGACCGCTCGCAGGCGGCTTTTATTTCATTAAACCGCAAGCAAAGTACAAACAATACATCATGAGTTAAGAAACTAGGGTCGGGGTCAGTCCCCCCTCCCCCTTCTCCCCTGGTACCTTCCTCATTATTTTCCGAGAATTGGGTGTTTATTTGGGTAGAGGGGCGCTTGGTGGTTTTCCCCAGGGGTGGTACTTGGCACCAGTTTGGGTACATTTCTCAAGACACGTTATTTTCCGGGGTCTTTTGGTTAAAGATAGGGGGGGGGTTCCATGGGACGCCTAAAGAGGATCTATGATTGGCTATTTTTGCAGATAGCTGGAATCACGGAGTGGGTCACAGATCACCCAAAGGAGAAGCTGCATGAGTTAAGAAATTGCATTTAGCTAAAGTTACCTATTGCTTCACACAAGTGGTTATTATATTTCATTAGTCATGAACATATTTCATTAGTGCTGCTGCTGGGGCTTTTTTTTATTCTTTTATTCTTTCCCTCCTTGCCCCCCCCCCTCCTCTGGTCATGACCCTTGACCGAGTTTGGCAGGGAATTGTGCAGTCTGGTCTAGTTCAGGCCCTGGCCTGTACTGCTTTGTGTAAGGGTAGTTAGCATAACAGATCTCTGTTGGAGGGTTTATTTTGGGGCCTTCAGATTCACAGCTCTGGCTATTAAAAAGAAGGCCCCCCCTGCTCTATTTCCCCACATCTCCACCTTCTGGTTCCTGCAACACCCCCTTTCCCATGTTCCCCTGTACAGTCCAAGGGTATGTCTACACTGCAGCTGGAAATGTGCTTCCCAGCATGGGCAACCAGACATGCACTAGCTCTGCTCAGACTAGCATGGTAGAAACAGTGTAGCCGGTGGTAGCACAGGCAGCAGCTCAGGCTAGCCACCTGAGTGCAAACCTGCCCTGACTCTCTGGGAGTATACTCGGGAAGCTAGCCTGAGCCATTGCCTGTGCTTACCCCCCCCCCCCCCCAAGCTGCTATTTTTAGCATACTAGCTCAAGCAGAGCTAGTGCTTGTCTATGTACTGCGCTGGGATGCACACTCCAAGCTGCAGTGTAGATGTACCCTAAGTCAGGCTGGTTCCTCCTCCTCACTGTCTGGGTTCCAGAAAAGGGCGTATTAAGGCCACAGGAGAGAGAGTCTCCCTGCTCTTAATTTTGGTGCCTGGCATCACAGTGGGCCCAGAGCAGCAACTGAAGGGAAGGTCTTGCTCCACCTCTGCTTCCCTGAGATGGAATATGCTCAGATATTTTGTGGGGATGGCACATACAGAGTCTGGTCAGCTGAGAGGCTGGAGCATGCTCAGTGGAGACAGAATCTTTGGAAAACTTAGCTGCCAAACTTGAACAAGTTTCTACTGAGCTTGTGTTAACTGAGATTTTTCAGAAGCTTATGACTTGGCCAAATTTGGTTTTTTTTTCCCCACGAGAACAGCAGAACTTATATTCCTGATACCTCAGCAACTTTCCCCTTGCCAAATTTCAAGTCCCTGCTCCAAAACATGGAGGCACTAGAGCGTCTTTTTTTTTTTCCCCCCAAGTTCATAACCAATTTGTTAAAATGGGCAAAACAATGTATGTTTTGTTTTTATTTTTCATTTGATAGCTAAGCAGCATTAGTTACCATAGTAAGTTATAGATCTCTAGCACTCCTGGGAAGGAGAGTGTGGGCAGCACCACTCTTGTCTTGGGCCTGGTCTACACTAACCCCCCCACTTCGGACTAAGGTACGCAAATTCAGCTACGTTAATAACGTAGCTGAATTCGAAGTACCTTAGTCCGAACTTACCATGGTCCAGACGCGGCAGGAAGGCTCCCCCGTCGATGCTGCGTACTCCGCTCGCCGAGCTGGAGTACCAGCGTCGACGGCGAGCACTTCCGGGATCGATCCGGGGCACTTCCGGGATCGATCTATCGCGTCTTAACCAGACGCGATAAATCGAACTCAGAAAACTGATTGCTTACATCCGGACCCGGATGTAAGTGAAGACGTACCCTTGGAGTCTGGAGCACAAGCCTCTGGCTGTGTGGTGCAGGTCATTTGGTGGCTGGGAGGTGGGAGTAAAGAAGTCCAAATGAAGAAGTCAGGAGGCATCTGCAGCCCACAAAAGGCAGAATCTGGGGCCTTCAGAAAGCCAAAGAGAGAAGAACTGGCTCCTTTCCTTTCTGAGTCAGCATGGGTGGTCAAGGCTCTCAAGTGTTTCCCCAGTCAGAAACCCCTTCTTCTGAGGGCTAGGGAGCTCTGAGTTACAGCCCTATTCCTTCAGGGTATGTCTACACGGCAATTAAAAACCCACGACTGGCCCATGCCAACTGACTCGGGTTCATGGGGCTCGGGCTTCAGGGCTGTTTAACTGTGGTGTAGATGTCTGGGCTGGTACTGGAGCCAAGGTTCTAGGACCCTGTGAGGTTGGAAGGTCCCAGAGTTTGGGCTGCAGCCTGAGCTGGAATGTCTATACTGCAATTAAATAGCCCGCAGCCCAAGCCCTGCAAGTGTGAGTCAGCTAGCATGGGTCAGCTGTAGGTGTCTAATTGCAGTGTAGACATACCCTCAGAGTGCTGCCCCAAACTGAGCAGGGATCCACCTTTTTAAGGACCCACCCTCTCCAGACTTGACAGCCTTCACAGTTACAATGGGTTGGGGCTGATTGTGCCCAGAGGAGCTTTTTAACACCTTTTTAACACCTGGAGTGGGGTGTGATGGGTTCGGTCACAGAAACCCCCTTGGGACTGTCACCTGATGTGCTGAGACTACCTCTGAGCCCGTTTTCTCTGCCGACTTGGGACTTAAGAACATAAGACTCGCTTTCCTGGGTCAGACCAAAGGTCCATCCAGCCCAGTATCCTGTCTACCGACAGTGGCCAATGCCAGGTGCCCCAGAGGGAGTGAACCTAACAGGTAATGATCAAGTGATCTCTC